CAGTCAAGAATTACCTAATGTTTTCGATTGAGCCATATACGATATGCTAACATATGACACAAAACTTCCCTCTCCCTGTCTTGGGGGTCTAAGTTGATTTTTTTAAAAATCAACAGGAATGTTTACTTTGCCCCCAAAGTACTTTCCTACCAAATTTGAAAAAAATTGGTCAAACCGTTTGCGCAATATCGTGGTATTACTACACATGATATTTGAAAATCGTTTCCTTACGAGATCCCCCCAGAATTTGTTGCTCGCATGAAAAACAATCTGCATTGCAAGCATCCAACTGTCGAAATATGTCAGTTTTCTGATTTTATTGCTAGCTCTAATATGTCGATGATATGACTTGTATACTCCATCGAATTTGCTATAAAATAATATGTCTTTTTTTTTAAAAAAAAGGATTGAGGGAGAGAAACGAAGAGAACAGAATATGTCATGCGCGCGTGTTGTCTCTATGGAGATCGCAGGCGTTGTTAAAATGGAGATTGATCCGAAATTCACATTCGTGTCGCTGAACGAGAAAATTTACGTCGGGATTAATGACAAAAATACGCAAGAGTATCTGTGTAAATGGTGACATTGATATTTTATATACCACCATTTTTACAATACGCACATAGTTAGTTCCTTTATTATTGAATTTGTGATATATTAGAATGGTATTTTCAGGGGCTTAAAAGGAAACTTCGTCATCCAACATTTTTCATTCAACGAACAGTTTCAACAATATCACAAATATCAATTGGCCGATGTAAGTTCAAGGTTCTAAGTTATAACCGTTCAATAAAATTTTATATATATAATTCGTATTATTTATTAAGATTTATAAATTTGTAGGCGTTTTTTAAAGATGATACCGTTGCAAAAACATTATTATCCAAACAGGATTCTGCCTGGGTCAGACAAGGTACTGTAATTTTTAGGAAAATTATTAACAGCTATGCAGATATTATAAATCTGTCCGAATTAAAAATATATATAAAATAATTGTTAGGTATACGAGCGTCGAGTGTGCAGATAAAGCAAGTACCACGCTCAGTCTTAAGTATGTCATTTTTTAACAAACTGAAAGATCCAGATAATGGGATTATGCATAATTCCGGAATGATCCATAAAAGATATGATCTTCAAGTAGAGGACTTTTTGGTATCTGACAATTTGCGTGGTGTAAGACATTTTCATTGGAGATAAACTGTGGTCTCTTCTCTTTTTCGTGGAAGATTCAATCGCTTAATAAATCAGATTTGCCAAAATCCATTTTTGAATTAAATTTGCTGCAGCAAATTAGAAAGCATCTGTGTGTGTGTGGGTGTGTTTGTATGTAGGAAAGTTCCTAATATGTTATTTTGAATTCTTCTCACGATTGAGTTGAGTAAAGTAATATGATTTTGTAATATAATAATATTTTAAAGAATTAAATAACAATTACCATTGGGTTGAAATAGAAAAAGTTAATAGGTATAAAGTATACATATCACTTGGATTGAGTGAGATGAAACGTTTGCGAAAAATTAAAACTACTATCACTTGGGTTGGAATGGAAAGACCAATGTGAATACAAAGATACATATCAGTTACAACGTTTTTTTTTAATCTTCACTTTAATAAAATTTTTTTTATGTATAATTAGTACAATAATAGCTAGTATGATTGCTTAAAAGACGATAGACGAAGTAAAGCGTTTATAATGATTTTACCTCAATCCGCTCTACATACCGGGTGACCGGAGAGTAAGAAACGGCATTTTGAAATAAAATAACTTTCGTAATCGATAAAGCGTTGTTTCTGTCTCTTATACACATC